GAGGCCATGCAATGAGAAGAGCTTAGGGTTGTAGTACTTTGTGGGATAGGGTGGAGGCGATTGCATGATGTTTACTGCATGACTTGTTTATTTTATAACTTTTTGCCAACTTTGAAGTTGCATTCAATTGCTTTGAAGTATTTTCTTATGTCCAGTTAGATGTGCTAATGGATTTTTATGATGCAAAACATTACCCACCCCTTGCCCCCCTCACTTATTTTATCTAGAAGTATCAAGGCGTTTCATTGGAGATGACCCCCAAAACATATTATACAGTGTCCAGCGATGCACTGTTCAAGGTCAGAGTCACGTGCCTTCCTCCCACTCACAAGAACCTCCTGGCGTCTCCTCGTCTACCTCCTAACCAGCCTGTGTTTAACACCTAGATGCTTCTCCAGTTGCTATTTGCATTGCAGGGTTCTTTTCACTCACACTTTACCTTACACGACTTTCTTCCTTAATGGCTGTCACATCTCTACTTTCTGCCTAAAACCCAATCCTAATATATTATAGACCTTATTAGTGTAGACAACAATTAATTTGACACAAGCAAGCCTGTGAGATATAGGAGTATATAGTGTTGACTACCAGACTACCAAAATTCTGGTATTGTGACAATACCAGTAAAATGTCAAGATATTGTTACTAATACCAATTTACTATACTATATCATAGTAATGTAGTAACTTTACAATTTACTTTTTTCTTCTACTTTTTTTTTTTTATCCCATTCGTTACTGTGGTTATGTATTTACATCATGTCTGCACTTTCGGTAGGTATCTAGGTATCTTGCATGTTGACACATTAAAGCCTGATTCATAATGTTATATCAATCAAAAACTAAATGCTTAGGTTTGTGAGGCACATAAATGTAAGAAAGAGACAACATAGCTCTGATTCGATAGGGAGAGTGACAGTTCTATCAGGTGGCCCAGGGTTATTCTGCAGACCTTATTGTTGAGTCCTGACATATTCGACGAACTGTACATCTAACCCTCACAGCCTTGTTTGTTGTCATCCAACTAAATAGGAACATTTCTCTTAATAAGGTCTATTTCTCTCTTGTAATTATTTTTTTAATCACTTTGTAATTCAGTGTTTCTGGCACTTTCAATAATTTACCGTTTCTGCTCCACCCAGAGCACCTCAGACCAACAACTTGATTTATGATGTGCATCCTTAATAATTGAACTAATCTTGTGCAAATAAGCCTACCCAAAACAATAAAGTAGTTACCGTTCCTTCAAATTTGAGGGACAGATAAGATAGACAAAGGGTATAAACTGAATCCCACAGCTTCTGACATTGGCGTGCGCGTTTTTGCCACCTTCCAAATGAATGTTGGTCTGTCTGTATTTGAGTGGGTGTTGTGTGGTTTCTTATAAGGTTATTCGCCAAATACCAATTAGTAGGATCAATCATTGCTTAGATAAAGTGGAAGTATTAATATATCAATGGCCATGGGTTGCTATTTTTGAAATCACCCCATTGAGGGCCTGGAGATTTCAGCTTTTTTAAGGTCAGTTGTTTTATTGTGAAGGTATGTGGTTAAAGTAGCCTTGCTCAACCTTGTTGTACTAGTATTTCATATCTTGTTCTGTTTGATGTTTATTTATTTGTGAGCTGTTACAGTAATATTATGTCTTTCTCTCTCCCTCCCACTGTCCTTTGCCTGTCTCCACCTGCAGGATCAGTATGGTAACTACGTGATCCAGCATGTTTTAGAGCATGGGCGTCTAGAAGACAAGAGCAAGATAGTGGCGGAGGTCAGAGGGAAGGTTCTGGCTCTGAGTCAGCATAAATTTGCAAGGTCAGTTAATCTGAGAAAACTATATTCTAGAGATGAAACGGTATGATTTCATATCACGATTATAGTGACCAAAAACATTCTAAAATGCTTAATGTACTAAGACCAAATTTTGAGGACCAAATTCAATATACACCTTATTAATAAAGCATACTACGTACAGAAAAGCGGTAGAGGCCAGAATTTGCACGGAATGCGCAAAGATTCACATTAAGCGTTTTCCTCCCATAAAACCATTATAAAGAAAAAGGTTAACGTGGCTAAATGCATTAAGACCAAATTAGGTATACAATTGTACTATTTACAGACAAGTCGGTGTAGCCAGAATATGAACTCATTGAGCAAAGTTTAATATTAGAGGAATAGTTCACCTTCAGTTGCTGGTCCCCATTGACAATGACAAGTCAATGGGGTCCAGCAACCGAAGGTGAACTACCCCTTTAAGCTGTTTCCTCCCATAGAAAACCATTATAAAGAAAATGCTAAACGTGCAATTTAGCACACTGTGTTTATGTTCTAGGTTCATCTGCCTGCCTGTACTTTGTATATATTTTTATTGTTCACTGAATTTGACCTTTTTATTATACCACTGTCTTTGTCCATTAAGCCACATTAAGTGCTTTATTTATAATGATTTTGTATGGGACGAAAACACTTAATTTTGCGCGTTGCGTTCAAATTCTAGCCATCTCTGCTTGCCTGTATATGGTTAGTATACACCTTATTGATGTTGCAGAGTGTGGTCTTTTATTATCACCATCTTACTGCATTAAGTCATATTAAGAGTTTTCTTTATAAAGGTTTATATTGGGGAGAAAACGCTTAATTTTCGTCTTTAAACTTGGATTATTGTACCATTGTCATAGTAGATAGTGTTTTATGACAACAGAAATGTGTGAGAATTTTTTTTGTCTTTTCTCTCTCTAGTTGTAAGTTGTGCATTAGCCTAAAGACCAGCTTAATTTAGCAAAACAATAATTTCAGGGCTATTGCGAGATGAAGGCTAATGTTTTTTTCTGCCGTGCGTTATAATGAAGGCTTTGTGAAACTGATCAGCTTTTCCAGTTCATTTAGATTTGAACGACATGTACTTTTATCTTATACTTACTATGAACACATTTCCTATGAACACATTTATGCCTATGAAAGATGATCAAGCCAATCAGATGGCGCTTTTCCACTGCATGGTACGGCACAGTACGGCTCGGTACGGTTCACTTTTGGGGGGTTTTCCACTGGGTACAGTACCTGGTACCTGGTACTTTTTTTAGTACCACCTCGGTTGGGGTTCCAAGTGAACCGTACCGTTACCAAAACGTGACACGTAAACTCTGCTGATCACGGATTGGCCCGGAGAGAATCGTCACTGAACTTGCGACACAAACACAAAAGAACCGCTAGATTTAAATCAGCACAGCCAGCGAAGGATCGAACGCAACTGTTTTGAACGAGCGCACCTTTTTTTTAACAACCAAAAAGTTTTGTTGTCTGTTGCGGAAGAACAGACGTTCCTCTCGTTGATAGCAGAGGAGCGGATCCAGCGAGCTTGATGGGGCCACGCGGAATGAAAATTTTTTTTTAGGAGTCGTGGTAGTAGAGGCGGCGCAACTATAACGACATGTGAATAATCCCGCCCACTCTAAAGCGGTAATGAACTGCAGTGGAAACGCAAACCGTGCCGAGCCGAACCGTACCGAGCCGAGTCGTACCACGCAGTGGAAAAGCGCCAAGAGTAGGTATGGGGTGGAGCGACTTGGCTACTTTTAGCCTTGAATGTAACCTGGTTGAGAGAAGAGCACTATTATCATTACTTATCGAAAGAGACAACCTTATCAGTTTAACGGTATCCACATAATATCTATTCAAGTTAAATCCAAGTAATACTGTTTGTGTGTATATTTATTATTATTATTATTATTATTTAATTCGTAGGTAATAACCAATGAAATTTCAATTACATTTTGACCACTGAACTAGGAAATGTCCCTGGTTTCCTTAAAATAGTTTGACCAGAAATTTGGTCATCTTAGTTTACCATCCAACCGGTAATCGTTTAACCCTTACTTTTATTTGTTTTGTTGTGAAGGCAATGCTAAGTTTTCTTTCTATAAATGTTATATTAAAATATTAATAATATAAAATTTATCTAGAATTTATTTCTATAAAAAATTGTACAACACTACCTAGGGATGTTCATTTCGGTTATTTTTCCTAACCGACAACCGACGCTCGTTAACCGATTGTTAACCGTTAACCAACAAGATTATTTTAAATTAGAATTGAATTAAATTAGAAAGGATAAGTGTCTGTGACCCGTTAAAAAATACTAACATTTGTTTTCCGGGGATTCATTTTACATGCGCAAAAAGCAGCAAACAACAGAACATGAGGATTCACATAGTCTTCATATCACATCATACACCTGCAGCGCTTTTGCAAGCGGAGAAAAACATCATAAAGCTAGGCTATATATATATATATAACGAATGAATAGGCCTATACGAGAAATAAATTTTTACTTAAATAATAAAAAAAGAAAATGAAAGAAAAACTGCAACAAGTAGCCTATATGCAGAGTTTCGATTCATTTTTGTGCTGCGCGAAAGGAAACAGACGGCAGAAAGCGGCATCCTATTTTTCTTTAGGCTTATTTTACAAAAGCACAAAGATTTGTTTTTATTGTGAATGTACACAAATAAAGGCAAACCTTTTACAATTCCGATTATCTTTAGGACTAAAAGGAGTAGTTTCTTCCACTGTTAGAAGGAAAAAATTCTAATGATTGCACCGGCGCCACATGCGCGCACACAGTTAAGCTTTGCTACCTTGACAATGCAGCCTGTTCATTATCATAATCAAATACAGTCAGTCAAACATACGGGAAAAAAAATATGTAGTAAAAAAAAATATGTAGTAAAAAAATGTAGTAAAATCTGTGCCGTTAAGTGTTATCACCGCACCGCCGTGATGTTATGCAAAACATTTTGTTTAACGTGAATATTGGAACGCGAGTGAAGCCTAGGCTACATAATAAATAATAATTTGCCATTCAAATACATCGCGAATACGAAAACATTTGATTTTGTGTGGAATGAGAGACCCAACGTTGGTTTCAGTTTCGTTTTAACCTAAATGAATTCGTTTTGGCTTGTCGTTTATATTGCTATAGCTTCTTATATTTTTAATTCTTGTTCTTTTCTAAATACTGTTAATTGAAAGGATTTGTTGTGGAGTGAGGGGAACTAAAATAGCCTAGCTATGTTTACAGTGTTTATTATAATGTTTGTAAACATTTCGTGTCGGCATTAGGCCTATTTCTGAATGAAACTATAAAATGCGACTTATATGCAACTTATGTTTTTTCCCCCTAAAAAACATATTTTTTTTATACGCGTAGCGTATTTTAACCATGCAGCAAACCTTTTTAAATAGTTTGTTAAATTACTGAAAAAATAAATAATTAAATGACTTTTTAAACCGTTTAACTGATTGTATTAATCGGTCAAAATTCTTACAGTCGGTTAACCGGTTAAACGGTTAAAATGAACATCCCTAGCACTACCTCATTCTCAGGACAAGTAGTTGTTTTATGGTATTACAGTACAGCTTTTATTTTCAATCAACAAAATCAAGGAGAGGTAATAACAGTAAAAAACCCAAATTAACAGTGCACTCACGATGTTTTTTTTATTTTTTATTATTGTGTTATTTTCAAGTACAATTTTTGCATAATGTATTAAATATTTAATATATTATGTAAAGATATATAAAGATAACCTTTGGTCATCTGAAAACTCAAAATTTCCCTTTATTTTGTTTGTGTCTGTCTCTTGTAGTAATGTTGTTGAGAAGTGTGTGATTCATTCGTCCCGTGCGGAGAGGGCCCTGCTGATCGATGAAGTCTGCTGTCAGAAAGATGGCCCTCACAGTGCCCTCTACACCATGATGAAGGACCAGTATGCAAATTATGTAGTGCAAAGAATGATTGACATGGCAGAACCTGCCCAGCGCAAGATCATCATGCACAAGGTATAAGCACAGAATGCTGTCGCATCGGTAAAATAATTGAAGAAAAGATTAAAAACATAATCATCACAGGCAGTATTTTAAACCGTTGCTGTTGTCAATTTCAGATTCGGCCCCATATTGCCACTCTCCGTAAATACACATATGGAAAACACATCCTGGCTAAGTTGGAGAAGTACTACATGAAGAGTGGATCAGACCTAGGCCCTATTGGGGGCCCCGCCAACGGCCTAATGTAAGGGCCTCACACCCAAACCACACCCCTTTCCCTCAAAACCATGTCTGTTATGGGCATCTGCTCCACCGTGGAGTTCATACCCTTTAGGGATTTTACCAAAAAAATAAAAGGAAAAGAAGTAGGCTTCACCGAAGAATGCTGAAACGTCTGACCAGTCCCTGGTGCAGTGCCCATTATTACCTCCACCACCCCCCACTAGAGAGTGCACGGTCTGTAAGCTGTTTCCTGGGTAAAGCACAACACCTTTGTTTATGATGTAATTGATGTGACTGACTGTTTCCTTTTTTCTTTTCTAGTAAATATCTTGTACATTTTTTACCTTGTACATTCTCTGAAAAAGAAATGTTTGCTGAAAATGTAAAGTTCTTACAATTTACACCAGCAAGTGACTTTATAAGGCCAAACTGAGTGATCCTTTTTAATTACTTTCTTTTTTTTATTTTTATTTTTTATATCCACATTTAAGAAGTGTGGTACATTTAAGCCCAGTTTTAGCCCGATGGTACACATGCCAAAGCTGCTGATGAAAAATAATGAACCAGTCAGCTTGATCTTAAAAAAATCTTGCTTGTAGATGACCACTTCTGTCTGCCATGCCATTGAGTTGTGTTACGATATTCTCAACCAATCATAGAGCTTTGCTACCTTTAAATGGGAGTTGTATCATTCAGAAGTGGTTTGAAGTATCTGCAATTGCCTCATGTGCGCATCTTATTTGATTAACTGCGCCGGATTTTTTTTTCTTTTTCATTTTAAGTGTGCGGTTGCAGTATACTATATACCCCACTGACCAAGTCTGTTGCACACCTATTGTCTTGGCTCACTATTATGTTTCGAATGAAGTGTAAGGACACCAGTGCACCTGCCATTTTACACAGCTACGAGTTAGACCGATACCTGGAATTTTTCCATTTTGGGGTGTGTGGGAGGTATGCGAGGCATGCAAGGGGTGGGGAGATTTGGCATGCTGTGTCTGGATATTTAATGTTTTAATGGAATGATTTTTCTTTGTCATCATGTTTGTAGAACATCTGTCTGTTGAGTAGTTTTTTTTAACACTGCCCTAGAAACGGTATGGTTGTGTACTGATTATCATCTCTTTACATTGTAATAGCTTAGGCAAAATGTTTAGCATTTTCATGTACAAGTACAAATATTAAATTGTTGCTGTTTTCGGGTGTGGGTGGAGACGGCGCTTGAGTTGTAGATGATGCTCTCCTGGGCAAAGTGGAGAAGTTGGTAGGCGACGTCCCTGTCCTTGGAGTCATCCAAGGACGTTTGGCTTTGGAGCAAGTAGAACAGAATTGATTTCATGAACGTGAGACGTTGCGAGGTAGGATCAAATGTGCGGCATTCAGCAGTGTAGATTGAGAATGTGCAAGAGTATACTTTTCAGAGAATAGACGTGGGGCTGCCGTCTTCTGCTTCACAATTTTTCTGTATGGCTAATATATTAATGGCTTTTGTTCCTTTGCTTCATATGAATAAATGTAGAATACATGTAGTATATGTGGAGTTAAGTGTAAGTTTATTAGTTAAATAGAAGAAAAAAAATCTAGTTGTGATGTTGGACAGGCCTTGCTAAATTGCGTAGTGATTTGCTTTTATTTTGTCTGTACAGTTGTACATTTGTAAACGTTAACGCTGTAAATGGAATGTCTTTTACTCTTTTTGGAGAAGAACAATCAAAAATGTGCGTATATACAGTTTTCTTTGAACAAGCGTTATTTTAAAGAAAAACTTTTTATGCGTCACAATCTCAAGATGGTTTTGTTTTTAATCAGTTCTTGGAAAAGGTCAGCCTCTTTATGTACCTGGAGCAGTGACACCTTCTGTTAACATAGTCATTTTGACGTGTGGCAGTTGAATAAAATAACTACAAATTTATGAATTTAAAGAAAGAAGGAAAAAAAAAACATGGGGCTGTCTTTGGTTCTACCTGCTACCATGGAAATTTCACAGGACAGGACAAGAATTATTTTTGTATAAAGGAGTGCTGTATTTTGGAGCAGCCACTAACTTGTAAGCAAAATAATTGTAAGATATTGTCAATTATATAAATATGAACATATGAGTTTTGTCACACTGTCAAAGTCATGTACATTTTCAGGTGGCCTTATGTACATTTCCAGATGTTAGATGAGAAAATAACTCTTTTTGTTTAGTTTTTTTGGAAGCAGAATTGTGACTATGTATGATTAAACTGTTCTTCTAACATTTGATTTTTGTGTCTTCAGCTTTTATTGTTCACTCTAAATACATTACACTCACTGCACACTCATTGACAGCTGAAAGGAATGTTCCTGGTTAAATATTTCTAATTGAAATGCTTGTGGCGTGCTGTCGATTATCACACAAAATATTTTAATAGTTTAATTCGGCTTAATAAATATTTAACATAAATGTTTTATGTTTAGTAAAAATGATACGAACTTAAAGGGGACATAACACACAGTTTCTGCCAATCTCGCGCTAATCTTGAGTATCTATTAAGTAGTATTGCATCCGTATCCGAAGAGTCTTTAGTTTTATCAGCTTTATGAAAGAAAGATCGTTAGGTTACTGATGTAACCCCGGTTCTCTGATAACATGAAGTGAGGTATCTCACTATGGGAACGCCTCAGGCGCAGGCAGTGTTGCCAACTAATTTTCAGGGGAAGTTGCTAAAGGAAGGTTGATTTGTTGCTAAAAGTTGCTAAAGGACGCGATGTCATTGCGCAGTGACGTAAAAAAACACGTCTTTTAATAATTAAAACTGCACGATGGTTGCACGCGCATATGGAACGATATTCCGGACAATTTTCAAAAGGAATAGCAAATTGTATTTTCAATTGCGTTTTCAATATGTGGACGCATAAATTGTGACACGGTAATGCAGGATTTGCAATTGCATTTGGATTGTGTCACAATTTATGCGTCCACATATTGAAAACGCAATTGAAAATACAATTTGCTATTCCTTTTGAAAATTGTCCGGAATATCGTTCCATACGGCCCGGTTCACTAACGAATTGTTTTTACATTTGTTCGTGAATCAGATAATTACTGCTTTTCAGGTAACTAAGAAGTCCTCTGAGAAATCTAATCCCGTCCGGATATGTCTGAGATTCATCGCGTAATTGTTTGGTGATCCGATTCTTTCCGACACTTTCGTCATGGATATAGCTAAGTCGTAACAATAACATGAAATCAAAAAGAAGATGCAGATCACGGAAACTAATAGCAGAGTTAGGTAAGAATCTAGTCGTATTGCAGTTTTCTCGATTGTTAATATAACTGATTTTAGTTGGCACTTTTTTTTGCCCCCAAACCATTCATTCAGTTTTCAAAACAAAGACACATTTCTCAAAAAGTTTAACGAGTTGCCTAAGTTAAACATTACATTAGGTAGCAAAACTGATGACACACCAGTCAGAATCTCTGCATCCTAACAGCTGAGAGAGGAGAGAGCTGAGCCAATCATCTACAGGGGTTTTATACTTACACATACAGTATAATTACAGTACAGTACCAGTACATTAGATAATGGAAATTTAACTCTTCTGTGTGTACAGTAAACTGTAGCACATGTTGTACACCTTCACGCGTGTGACTGTCAAATTTTATTTGTAACCATTTTTTATGTACTGCATTTTTGAAGAACTGAGAAATGACTGCCTAGAGATATAGCTAGTCTTGAGACAGGAGACCAAACTGCTATAGTACTGTATACTGTAATGGAATTTGGCCAAATGTGCAGAGGATGCTAAATTTACTTTTGTAATTTTATTTTTTTACTGTACTATATTGTGGTGCATGCCAAGTTCATACAATTTGAACTTTTCTAGTGCTTTTCATCTACTGCAAGATTACTTTAGTAGTAAAATGAAAAAGATTTTTTCCCCAAAGGTTCATTGCTGAATTATACATCTTTTGACTCAGTTTTTTCATAAAACACTTTTTGCAAAACAACACACAATTCTCTATGTAACACAAAAATCTAGCAGGAATTAAAGGGGTCATATGATGCGATTTCAAGTTTTCCTTTCTCTTTGGAGTGTTACAAGCTGATTGTGCATAGATAAGATCCCTGAAGTTGCAAAGACTAAAGTCTCAAAACCAAAGAGATATTTAGAG